CAGTGTTCAAAGTGCATTGACTTGGCCACCTCTCATTGCTGGCTTGCCTGTCACTTCATCACCAATGCGTTGAAGTCTCCAGTCAAATGGCTCTCATGAAAGGGTCCTTCATCGGGCTCTGTTGCATCCTCCCTTCCGTTGCATGGCCTCGCCGCACTGAGCCATTGCATCCCATGTGCCGTGGCTCCCTCCATCGCCACTGCATCAAAGGTCAGAGAGTGGCCCATCTGAGCCTCACTGGGCTCCCCCTTGCGACCTCTTCCCTTCCCTTCGTGCCATTTGGTAAAGAACATGATGCCATCCTGGCCTACGCCTTTCCCCGCTGTCACTCGGGTCCAAGGAGTACGATGCCGCACAGGCTGACAACTCCACGGTACAGTGCAACCAGCGGCAGCTGAATTGGATCGTCTCTTGTCTCGCCCGACGCCCGCCCCGCCATCCCATGCAGAACTGAGGGAGAAGCTGCCAGGGCAGCAATGGGAGGCTTCGCTGCACCCAGCCAGCAATGCCTCACAGACTTCGTCTCTTTCCACGCCCTCTCTGCCATGTGCCTCACCCCGTCAGGGCTGGGCGAGGTGATGCCAGAGCAGCTGTGGGAGACGACCGTGGACCCCAGCCAGCAGCGCCTGACAGCTGTCATCTCATTTCACAGCCTCCCTCTGTCCCCCCTCTGTCCCCCCACTGTCCCCCCTCTGTCCCCCCTCTGTCCCCCCTCTGTCCCCTCGCTGTCCCCCCTCTGTCCCCCCTCTGTGCCCCCTCTGTCCCCCCTCTGTCCCCCCTCTGTCTCCCCTCTGACCTCCGTTCCCCCCTGTCTGCTCGCTACCCCATGCGCCTCGCCCCTCAGGGCTGGGCGAGATGATGCCGACACAGCTGTGGGAGACGACGCTGGACCCCAGCCAGAGGCGGCTGAAGCTCATCACTGTGGACGAGGCGGCACAGGCCAGTGTCACACTCTCCGTGCTCATGGGGGATAAGGTGCGGTCATGGGGGATAAGGTGCGGTCATGGGGGATAAGGTGCGGTCATGGGGGATAAGGTGCGGTCATGGGGGGAAATGTGCGGTCATGGGGGATAAGGTGCGGTCATGGGGGAAAAGGTGCGGTCATGGGGGATAAGGTGCGGTCATGGGGGAAAAGGTGCGGTCATGGGGGAAAAGGTGCGGTCATGGGGGATAAGGTGCGGTCATGGGGGATAAGGTGCGGTCATGGGGGATAAGGTGCGGTCATGGGGGAAAAGGTGCGGTCATGGGGGATAAGGTGCGGTCATGGGGGATAAGGTGCGGTCATGGGGGATAAGGTGCGGTCATGGGGGATAAGGTGCGGTCATGGGGGATAAGGTGCGGTCATGGGGGATAAGGTGCGGTCATGGGGGATAAGGTGCGCTCATGGGGGATAAGGTGCGGTCATGGGGGATAAGGTGCGGTCATGGGGGATAAGGTGCGGTCATGGGGGATAAGGTGCGGTCATGGGGGATAAGGTGCGCTCATGGGGGATAAGGTGCGGTCATGGGGGATAAGGTGTGGTCATGGGGGATAAGGTGCGGTCATGAGGGATAAGGTGCGGGATAAGGTGCGGTCATGGGGGATAAGGTGCGGGATAAGGTGCGGTCATGGGGGATAAGGTGCGCTCATGGGGGATAAGGTGCGCTCGTTCTCATGTGCTAATGGGGGGGTATGAGGTGGGCTCATGTGCTCATGGGGATAATCTGGGCGAAGTGGGTGGAAGGGCATGGGCTGAATTCGATCTAGTGGATATGCGTCCTCCTCCCTGCTGGCCATCCCATCACCCCATGACGTGTTCTAAAAAATGCAGTGTATCATATCCACCTACCGTCTAACCCCGGATGTAAGCGCCACGGCGCTTATAATAAAATCGGTTTTTTTAGGGGTGGCGCTTGTAATTGAATAACGGCCATAAGCGCCGGCGCTTATATAATGACGAATACAAATTTTTACTTTAAAGGTATCAAACTGTACCTTTCATTGTTGCCATTTCAAACGAGTTGAAATAATATAGAGTCACAAAGAAGAATCGCGCGGAAGCGATTCTGCTTCCTGTACACGGGCAAATTCGCGTCACTTCGCAGGCATGCCAGCACATCCTGACTGGACGCGCAGCCAGTCTGGTCTTCGCGAGTCAAACGAAGCGAAAATGAATTTTGACTCGCTGCAAAACTGAAATTCGTTACCGATTAAAACTGAGATTTAAATTAAAAATAGGGGGGCGCTTATAATAAGTAATGGTTTTCCAGGGGGGGCGCTTATAATCGAGTGTCGGCCATAAGCGCCATGCTCCAGATAGAAGCGCCGGCGCCTGTAATAGGCCGGCGCCTATATCCGGGGCCATACGGTATCTGCTTCCACTGTTGCACACCCTTCACTACACACACCATGTGATGTGCCCTGTCCGGTTTGTGGTTGCACTTCGCAGGTGGGGCCGCGCAAGGAGTTGATTCAGACAGTGGGAAGCAGGATGGCAGCAGCTGGCATGCTCGACATCTAGCCAGCACCAGGCCAAATTTTTGGAATTGACCTACCCTTGCGATCAGTGTAGCACCAGCTCAAGAACCTGATTATCAGTGTGACCCCTTATAATAAAACCTTTTCCATCAGGGTTTTCCGCAATTTTGTAATATCTACCCTGTCGCATCAGTGTTCTAAATAACAAATCCTGGTCAATGGCTCTTACAATCCCAGTGGGACTTAGCGAAGGATCGCTCAGGGTTGATCGCAGGGTAGTGTTGCAGCGGAAGTTTGAATCTCAGGTCAGAGTGAATGTAAATGACTTGAGTTGATAAAAGCATGCATACATCGGGTTTATATAAGAATACAGGGGAATACGAAAAGACCTAGACTAGCCATGTACCGTATTCCCCCGGATATAAGACCCTAGGGTCTTATGCTAAATCCCTAGAAAAAATGGGGGGGGGGTCTTAACAAAGGAAAAAAATATATAACACCCGGGTCTCTTCATATGGTACTACATTTTTTGAATGATTTCAACACCAAAGTTAATACCGAAGTTGTGGGTTTGCTTTTGGTGATTCGCTTGACCAGTCAAAACAAATTCGCCCGTCACAGTAAAATTCGCCCCTCTGACGCAGCAATTTCGCCCCCTGACACAACAATTTCGCCACCTGACACAGCGAACTGGCCCCCTGACGCAGCAAATCAATCCCTGAGACAGGAATTCACCCCCCGAAAGCCGAATCCGCACTATAGAATGCCTCAGTTTCAAACGAATCAAATGAAAAGTACAAGGAAAACCCCCCTATAGGGGAAAAGGGGGGGTCTTGTATTGATCACCCCCCAAAGGGGGGGTATAACGAAATCAAGGTTTTATAAAGTACCCCCCCCCGTATTAGGTACCCGGGGGTGTTGTATTTTGGGGGGGTCTTCTATCCGGGGGATTACGGTACTCTAAGGGGTACATTCCCTTATTGCAGCGAAATTCAAACCGTGCGGCGCGGGAACCCGTTTTAAACCTGTTCCCGCTCTTTTCACTTCAAATGTTTCTGCCTGCATCGGTCTTGGTCAGGCGGTTGTTGCGTCGCTTCGACTCTTCTGACTCCTCGACTTCGTACTCGGTAGAGTCGGCTCCTGCAGCATACAGGAACGCCTTCTCATAAAACTTCATATCGTAACACTCCCCTTCATTCCTGGGCGCAGGAGGAGCTGACTCGCTTGACTACTCCGGTGAGGTTAGAGCAGTGCTTGTACTGCTGACGTGGCAGACGCTTGGTGAGGAAGTCTGCTGCCATCTCAGTAGTCGGACAGTAGGCGAGGTCAACCTTTCCTTGGTCAATTTCGTCCTTGATGAAAAAGTACCGAAGTGCGATGTGGTTCGTGCGGTTCACGAAACCTGGTTTGTTCGCGATCCTAATGGCACTCTGGTTGTCGCTGTGATGGCGAAAGGTAGGCGAGGTTGGAATTTTCGCCTCCTGTACAGACCTTTGCGATCTGGTGGTGTCGCGGCGATGTATTCTGCTTCAGCCGATGAGAGGGCAATCAGCTCCTGTTTCTGCGAGTTCCAGGAGATTGGCCCAATTGGTTCCAGGCGAAAAACGAACCCGGTTCGGGACCGTCGAATTGCAGGGTCAGCTGCATGATCTGCGTCCACGTAGCCGTTGAGGTTGAAGGAGGTCGTCGTCAGCGTGGAGTAGGAGAGCCCAATGTCAGGTGTGGAGATGAAGCACTGCAGGGCGCGCTCCAGGTCCAGCTGGTTCTCAGTTACTGGCTTGCGGGAATACTGCGCCAGTTGGCTGGCGATGTACGAGAGGTCGGGTCGGCAGGTGACAGAGGCGAATAGCAGGCACCCCAGTTTCTGCTGGTACATTTGAAGTCCTGCGGGTGACAAAGGTTTGTTGTCCGGTTTGTAGTTGGCACTGGGGTTGCGGTAGGGAGTTGAGAGTGGTGCGGGCGAAAAAATGAAGCGTTCTTCCAGCTGCTCTGCGTACTTTGAGGCTGACAGATGAATTGCTTCTGGCGCGTAGGTGATGTTCAGCCCCAAAAACTGCTTCACGTTGTGGTTGATGGTGATGTCAACGCGCTGCGCCAGGTTCTCCTCAAACTGGTTAAGGAGCTTGTTACAGGTGCCCGTGTACAGCAGGTCGTCGACGTAGACTGTCAGGAGGATGTAATCGCCACTGAAGTGAAGGCGATACATTCTCGGGTCGTGCGGCAGCTGCTTGAAACCGATCTCGAGGAGGATCTTATGCAGATGCTGCTGCCAGAGGCGAGGCGCCTGCTTAATCCCGTAGAGGGACTTCTTCAGCTGACAGACCCTAGGGTCCCCTTCTCCGTAGGTGTGAGGCTGCTCCACGAAGATGGTAGCGTCCACCAACGCGTATAAGAACGCGTTCTTTACGTCGATCTGTCGTAGTGGTAGGTGCTTAGCGGCAGCATTGGCGAGTAGAATCCTGACGGAGGTGTGACGACTGACGGGAGCGAAGGTCTGGTCGAAGTCGATGCCATGGCGCTGATCGTACCCACGTACGACCCAGCGTGCCTTGAAGCGCTCGATAGTACCGTCAGCATTGGTCTTCAGACGAACAACCCATTTTCCGCTGAGTACCTTCCTCCCCTTCACTGCTGCACAATCGACTAGGACCCATGTGTCTCGAGACTCCGACCCCTTTAGTTCTGCATCCATCGCGGCGAGCCACTCATTGGCGTGAGGGCCGGTTAGGGCCTGGTGAGGATTCTTTGGCTCCACGGCCCGTGCGAAGGTGGTGACGGACGTGTGCAGGCCGAGGAGTTGCAGGCCTGACACATTGGTTGTGTCTGTCTTGGTGGCGACTTCCACCACGTCATCATCTCCGCTTTCGTAGCCGGTCGCTGTGGTGCTTGGGTCTGCTTGGCGCCGTGATGGCCCTGGCGCGAGGTCATCGTCACTGTCATCGTCATCGTCGTCGTCGCGCGGTCGAGGCGGGATGCTGGAGTGTTCTTCAGTGTCCTCGCGGTCCAGTGCTGCTGCTGCTTCTTCGTCTTCTGGAGTCGCAAAGCTGCGGCCACTATTGACGTAGCCTCGTGCCTCGTTACGTCGTTCGTCCTCGATCCACTGCTTCAAGGTGAGTCGCTCGTAGAAGAGAACATCACGTGCGGGAACAACCTCCTTGCTGTCAATGTCAAGAATAAGCCACCCTTTGTGCTCGTGACTGAGCCTTAGGTGAATTCCCCAGCGCGCGCGATGAACGAACTTGCCGATTGTGGCCGAGGTCGGCCGGTACTGCACCATGCACCCCCAAACCCTTAGCATGGAGGGGTCTCCCCTTGAGCCGGTCCACTTCATGTGAGAGGACAGGTTGTCCCTGTTGGCAGTGGTGGAGAGGAGGTTGTGCAGGCGCACCGCGTGTTTCATGGCGTAGGGCCAAAATTTCTTTGGCAGGCCGGACTGATTCATGAGGGCGCGCACTTTCGTCATGAGGGTGCGGTTAACCCTCTCTGCGACGCCTTGCTGCTGGTGAGCGTAGGGGAGTGAGATCTCATGCTTGATCCCCTTCTCGGTAAGAACGCTCTCCAGCTCGTTGCTGCGAAATTCCTTGGCCCCATCACTCTGCCATACCTTCAGCTTCCTTCCTGACTGCCGCTGCGCGTGCGCAAGGAAGATGCGGAACACTTCCGGAGCCTTGGAACGGGAGTCGACGTTGGCGACCCACACATGGCGCGAGTAGGCATCAATGAAGGTGAGAGTATATTTTTCGCCGTTGATGCCGTCGAAGGTGAGCACAATGAAGTCGATGTATACTTTCTCCAGCTTCTTGTAGCGGTTGGTGCTCGGCTCCAGAGAGGGATAGGCGCTGTGGGAGAGCGCAGCTGTGGGGCAGACAGTGCAAGTGATTGGGTGTGGGGTGTTGTGCGGTTTTGTTCCGTCAGGGCACAACAGTGCTCCTGCCGGAAAGACTTTAGCGCGGAGGCAGTTGGCGAGGGTGTGGCGCGAGGGGTGGCCCAGCCGCTGGTGCCAGAGGTCATCTTCGGCGCGAATGCCGGAGGTGCGCTTGTAGCGGGCGTAGAGTTCCGCTACTTCTGCTTCCGTAAGCTGTGGGATCTGGAGTGGGGGTACTTCCTCTTCTCCTGGTTCTGCTTCGTTGTCCAACTCCTCTGCTTCTGCTTCCGCCGGTGTCTCCCCTTCTGCAGGTGCCGTTGTGAGGTAGAGGGCGAGAAATTCACGGTCGGGGATGATGGTGAGCGGAGTTGTGGTGCCTTCAATGAAGCGAGCGAACGGATTTGGGCGAGAGATTGGACCAAGTGAGTCTCGCGGAGGAGTTGGTGGTATGTTCCCCTCCTCAATCTCCGACCAGGGATCACTCCATCGATGTGGTGAGCGGGGGGGTTCACGAGTGCGTGGGGGTCGTCCGAGGGGAATGGCGACGCGGGGTGATTTCTCTCCGCATTCGGCTCTCATCTCGCGTTCAGAGGTCTCCAATTCTTCTTGCGTAAGCTCCCCTTCCTCGAGTTCGACTGTTCCCCACCCTCCCGTGGTGACCGTGCCGCTGGCGCCGGCTCCCCATGCTCCAGTGGCGGATGCCCAGGTAGCGCCTTCTTGTGGTTCGTAATCTTCGTCTCCCCATGCGCCTCGTCGGGCTGACTCCTCATCCCACCCAGCCGCAACGCGTTCCTCATACAGTTTCTGTTTCTTTTCCGCTCGGGCCTTGTCTTGTTCTTCCTTGACGCTTAGCTCTCCTTTTGTGTCAGGATCCTTCCAAGCCGGATCAATTTCATGGCGGTAGACTTCCCGGGTGTATGGGCGCGGTCGTCCATCTTCGTTGAGGGTGGTGGTGTTGGCTTCTAGGACGAACCGGAGGTTGTCCGAGTATGGTGTTGTTCGCTCCGCTCCGGAGTCATCTTTCGGTTCGCCGAAGATGCGGTAAGATGACACAGCGAGTTCTTGTTCAGTCATGCCTGTTGGTTCCGCCTCGGCACTCTCCGCCTCTTGGATTGCCGCGTACTCATTTTCGACTTGCTCTGTGCGGCTCGCTGTGGGTGTGTGACAGGTAGTGCAGA